GTTTTACCCAAAATGGTTCAAATCTGAAAAGTTTTCCATATCCGCGGTCATGAAAAAAACAGATTTTTGGCAAAAAATCCAACTTCACGAAACTAAGCCCAATGTTCACACAAAGTGAGTAGATGCCAGAAATGAATCCCCAAGAGATTTCACAGCTCACTAAAGTCAGGATCCGGGAAGAAAACAAACATTTCAGGTTTTTACCCAAAATGGGTTCAAATCTGAAAAGTTTTCCATATCCGCGGTCATGAAAAAAAACAGATTTTGGGCAAAAATCCAACTTCACGAAACTAAGCCAAATGTTCACACAAGTGAGTAGATGCCCAGAAATGAATCCCCAAGAGATTTCAGCTCACTAAAGTCAGGATCCGGAAGAAAACAAACATTTCAGGTTTTTACCCAAAATGGTTCAAATCTGAAAAGTTTTCCATATCCGCGGTCATGAAAAAAACAGATTTTGGGCAAAAAATCCAACTTCACGCAACTAAGGGCCAAATGTTCACACACGGTGAGTAGATGCCAGAAACGAATCCCCAAGAGATTTCAGCTCACTAAGTCAGGATCCGGGAAGAAAACAAACATTTCAGGTTTTTACCCAAAATGGTTCAAATCTGAAAAGTTTTCCATATCCGCGGTCATGAAAAAAACAGATTTTGGCAAAAAAATCCAACTTCACGAAACTAAGCCAAATGTTCACACAAGGTGAGTAGATGCCAAAAGAATCCCCAAGAGATTTCAGCTCACTAAAGTCAGGATCCGGGAAGAAAACAAACATTTCAGGTTTTTTACCCAAATGGTTCAAATCTGAAAAGTTTTCCATATCCGCGGTCATGAAAAAAACAGATTTTGGGCAAAAAAATCCAACTTCACGAAACTAAGCCAAATGTTCACACAAGGTGAGTAGATGCCAGAAATGAATCCCCAAGAGATTTCAGCTCACTAAAGTCAGGATCGGGGAAGAAACAAACATTTCAGGTTTTTAACCAAAATGGTTCAAATCTGAAAAGTTTTCCATATCCGCGGTCATGAAAAAAACAGATTTTGGGCAAAAAAATCCAACTTCACGAACCTAAGCCAAATGTTCACACAAGGTGAGTAGATGCCAGAAATGAATCCCCAAGAGATTTCAGCTCACTAAAGTCATGATCCGGGAAGAAAACAAACATTTCAGGTTTTAACCCAAAATGGTTCAAATCTGAAAAGTTTTCCATATCCGCGGTCATGAAAAAAACAGATTTTGGGCAAAAAATCCAACTTCACGAAACTAAGCCAATGTTCACACAAGGTGAGTAGATGCCAGAAACGAATCCCAAGAGATTTCAGCTCACTAGTCAGGATCCGGAAGAAAACAAACATTTCAGGTTTTTACCCAAAATGGTTCAAATCTGAAAAGTTTTCCATATCCGCGGTCATGAAAAAAAAGATTTTGGGCAAAAAAATCCAACTTCACGAAACTAAGCCAAATGTTCACACAAGGTGAGTAGATGCCAGAAAAGAATCCCCAAGAGATTTCAGCTCACTAAAGTCAGGATCCGGGAAGAAAACAAACATTTCAGGATTTTTACCCAAAATGGTTCAAATCTGAAAAGTTTTCCATATCCGAGGTCATGAAAAAAACTGATTTTGGGCAAAAAATCGAACTTCACGAAACTTAGACAAATGTTCACACAAGGTGAGTAGATGCCAGAAAAGAATCCCCAAGAGATTTCAGCTCACTAAAGTCAGGATCCGGGAAGAAAACAAACATTTCAGGTTTTTACCCAAAATGGTTCAAATCTGAAAAGTTTTCCATATCCGCGGTCATGAAAAAAACAGATTTTGGGCAAAAAATCCAACTTCACGAACCTAAGCCAAATGTTCACACAAGGTGAGTAGATGCCAGAAATGAATCCCCAAGAGATTTCAGCTCACTAAAGTCAGGATCCGGGAAGAAAACAAACATTTCAGGTTTTTACCCAAAATGGTTCAAATCTGAAAAGTTTTTCCATATCCGCGGTCATGAAAAAAACAGATTTTGGGCAAAAAAATCCAACTTCACGAAACTAAGCCAAATGTTCACACAAGGTGAGTAGATGCCAGAAATGAATCCCCAAGAGATTTCAGCTCAATAAAGTCAGGATCCGGGAAGAAAACAAACATTTCAGGTTTTTTACCCAAATGGTTCAAATCTGAAAAGTTTTCCATATCCGCGGTCATGAAAAAACAGATTTTGGGCAAAAAAATCCAACTTCACGACGAACTTAGCCAAATGTTCACACAAGGTGAGTAGATGCCAGAAAAGAATCCCCAAGAGATTTCAGCTCACTAAAGTCAGGATCCGGGAAGAAAACAAACATTTCAGGTTTTTACCCAAAATGGTTCAAATCTGAAAAGTTTTCCATATCCGCGGTCATGAAAAAAACAGATTTTGGGCAAAAAAATCCAACTTCACGAAACTAAGCCAAATGTTCACACAAGGTGAGTAGATGCCAGAAATGAATCCCCAAGAGATTTCAGCTCACTAAAGTCAGGATCCGGGAAGAAAACAAACATTTCAGGTTTTTACCCAAATGGTTCAAATCTGAAAAGTTTTCCATATCCGCGGTCATGAAAAAAAGATTTTGGGCAAAAAAATCCAACTTCACGAAACTAAGCCAAATGTTCACACAAGGTGAGTAGATGCCAGAAATGAATCCCCACAGATTTCAGCTCACTAAAGTCAGGATCCGGGAAGAAAACAAACATTTCAGGTTTTTACCAAAATGGTTCAAATCTGAAAAGTTTCCATATCCGCGGTCATGAAAAAAACAGATTTTGGGCAAAAAAATCCAACTTCACGAAACTAAGCCAAATGTTCACACAAGGTGAGTAGATGCCAGAAATGAATCCCCAAGAGATTTCAGCTCACTAAAGTCAGGATCCGGGAAGAAAACAAACATTTCAGGTTTTTACCCAAAATGGTTCAAATCTGAAAAGTTTTCCATATCCGCGGTCATGAAAAAAAACAGATTTTGGGCTAAAAAATCCAACTTCACGAAACTAAGCCAAATGTTCACACAAGGTGAGTAGATGCCAGAAACGAATCCCCAAGAGATTTCAGCTCACTAGTCAGGATCCGGGAAGAAAACAAACATTTCAGGTTTTTACCCAAAATGGTTCAAATCTGAAAAGTTTTCCATATCCGCGGTCATGAAAAAACAGATTTTGGGCAAAAAAATCCAACTTCACGAAACTTAGCCAAATGTTCACACAAGGTGAGTAGATGCCAGAAAAGAATCCCCAAGAGATTTCAGCTCACTAAAGTCAGGATCCGGGAAGAAAACAACATTTCAGGTTTTTACCCAAAATGGTTCAAATCTGAAAAGTTTTCCATATCCGCGGTCATGAAAAAAACAGATTTTGGGCAAAAAATCCAACTTCACGAAACTAGCCAAATGTTCACACAAGGTGAGTAGATGCCAGAAAGAATCCCCAAGAGATTTCAGCTCACTAAAGTCAGGATCCGGGAAGAAAACAAACATTTCAGGTTTTTACCCAAAATGGTTCAAATCTGAAAAGTTTTCCATATCCGAGGTCATGAAAAAAAACAGATTTTGGGCAAAAAAATCCAACTTCACAAACTAAGCCAAATGTTCACACAAGGTGAGTAGATGCCAGAAATGAATCCCCAAGAGATTTCAGCTCACTAAAGTCAGGATCCGGAAAGAAAACAAACATTTCAGGTTTTACCCAAAATGGTTCAAAGCTGAAAAGTTTTCCATATCCGCGGTCATGCAAAAAACAGATTTTGGGCAAAAAAATCCAACTTCACAAACTAAGCCAAATGTTCACACAAGGTGAGTAGATGCCAGAAATGAATCCCCAAGAGATTTCAGCTCACTAAAGTCAGGATCCGGGAAGAAAACAAACATTTCAGTTTTTTACCAAAAATGGTTCAAATCTGAAAAGTTTTCCATATCCGCAGTCATGAAAAATACTGATTTTGGCCAAAAATCCAACTTCACGAAACCAAGTCCAAATGACACAAGGTGAGTAGATGCCAGAAATGAATCCCCAGAGATTTCAGCTCACTACAGTCAGGATCCGGGAAGAAAACAAACATTTCAGTTATTTACCAAAAATGGTTCAAATCTGAAAGTTTTCCATATCCGCGGTCATGAAAAATACTGATTTTTGGCCAAAAAATCCAACTTCACAAACTAAGTCAAATGTTCACACAAGGTGAGTAGATGCCAGAAATGAATCCCCAAAAGATTTCAGCTCATTACAGTCAGGATCCAGGAAGAAAACAAACATTTCAGTTTTTATCAACCCTCACTCCTTAGGGGGTGTGCAAAATCGTATTGAATTTGGAGGATTCAGGACTGACAATATGGCTGTGTCCCCATCACATGGCTATGGGTGGAAAGCACACGCGCTTCTATGGAAGCCACTGTCGAGAGGCCGAGCCATTTTCCATACACTTGTGCATTATTGCTAGCCATAGCCACTCCAAAAGACACGACACTAATTAATTGCTTGCCTTCAGATGTTCACAGCCACAGACCCAATTATAGTGTTTGTGTCTTAAAGAGGGTAACACTGACAGTAAAAACTTAAGAGCGGTCGAGCATTTTCTAATTAACTCAGAGATGTCACCAATTATTTCAATGAAAAGCCTGAGACACTACTAAAAACCTGAACTATCCTCACCCACTTTCAAAATGTGTTTTCTGGATGTTTCAGACCAAATCCAGCACTCTTTATTCGTCCAATTTGTTTTTAAAACCCTGAATTCAGGTTAAAACCTGAAAGTGGCAACTCTGTTAATTTCGTATTTCTTACCTTGTTTCCTCCAACATTCAGCTTCTCTAGTGTCGTATTATCCCTCAATGCCTCAGTTAGTAGTTTCATGCAGTCGTTTGGAGGCCACAGTTCCTTAGGTGAAACGATCTCAATCGGCAAGTCGGAGACTAGAAGATCGACACAAAAACTTTCATCAAGAAAATATTATCACAACACATGGAATACTTATCAAGTTTTCAGCCCACTTAACTGTGGTGCTACTTTTTTTGGGGGGGGGGTTAAACTATTATTCTTTACAACAAAATATGAATGTTCTTAAAAAAAACCACATTTTCAGAGCAAAATAAAAGCTTTCTAAACTTATTAGTCACGGTGAACCAGGACTGTCCCCAGAACTGTATAGTCTTAAATGGTTCCTTCAGGGAATCAATACAATGTTATACAATGTAGCACAGGTGGTAATGAATTAAAACAATTTAGTCTAACGAAAATCTAAGTCTAGCTGCTTTTGAATCAAAAGTTTTTGTCCAGGTGTACCTGTAGCACTGCTTTTAAATTAGATGAAAACACGTTGCTGTCTCTCATCTGGTTATGACTGACATCCAGCTCTTCTAGTGTTCCATTACGGGTCAAATTATCCATCATTACATCAAGGTCTGTAAAGCCGCAGCTTGATGCCCTGAGAAGAAACAACGGTGACAAAAATATCATTTGAAACAATTAAATAATGAGGAACTGTTTTTTTCTAAAAACACTTAGTAATATCTATTCCTAAGTAATATTTATCATATCATATCGGGCAAAAGAAAAGTGATAACGAGTGCCAAAGACGCGACCTCTATATACCCCAAGAGTGAAAGCTTAGTGCAAAGCAGTTTTGATTTTAATCAATCTTTTGCAGAGTGCATAAGCACTGTATGATAACAAGCTTTACCTCAGTGTCTTAAGAGTGGTGTTGCTGCCTAGCGACGGCCCAATGCAACGGGAGAAGAAATCTCTGCCCAGCTGGTTACTGGAGACATCAAGACGGACCAAGGTGCAGTTCGCACTCAGCATTTTCCCAAGGCATTCCTGTTTTGTGAAAGTTTGCGCGTCAATATTATTGAAAATTTGTCGGACGATTTTGAATGTTTGAACCTTTTCGTCACAAGCCTGGCACAACTTGATCACCAGGTCTCAACTCTAGCTATCTAAAGAACTGCATTCCTTCATTTTCGTTCAATCGCTGTTACTTGTACTTGTGTCAAAACATTTCTTTTCAGGTTTCTAGTTCACCATCAAGAGAATAAATCACAGGCAACAAAACTGCTCTTAGATCAAAAGTTAACTTATCCAAAACGTACACTGATTTACAAAGCTTTGTGCACCACTTGTGTTTTAGTCAAGCCCATCGCAAGTCAGCTCAAAAGTACGTATTTAATTACAAATCCTTACACATGTCCAGCAATAAGTAACAGGTGATGTACAATATCAGCGAAAGCTTTTGTCACTGTTTGTTTGTATAGCTGGTGACTTGATCTGAGACCAAAGATTTGATCAACTGAACTATAGCACTGTGTGCCACGTCTTGGTGTTTTCTTTTGGGTGACTTTTATTAAGACAAACTCACAGAACTGTCTGTGTCAGTGCAGTTGTTGGAGATGTCCAAGGTCTTGATGGTCTTGTTGTGGCACATCCCTAGAGTAATGACTCGGAAGGCTTGAGGACCCAGCTGGTTACCCGATAAATTCAACTCCTGTAAAATAACAAGAAAGAATTTCAGCACTTGGTCCGATTCTATGATCTCAAAATGCAACGATAGCACTTTTCCAAAATGTGTTTATGCCTTGAACCAAAACATTATCTACGACAAACCAACAAAGAGCCTTTGGCTTAAGTAATAGTGCTGTGCATTTTTTTTTTGACAATTTAGTATCGGATAATTCGAACTTCGATTGTAATAGTACTTGGATGCAGTAAGTATTGTGGGGAGTGGGCCAAGTGTTAGGGTTCATGACTCATGATCAGAGGTCAGGGGTTTAATCCAGCTGCTAGTCATATGTTGTGTCCTTGGGCAAGCTTTCCCCCCACTTGCCTCTCTCCACCCAGGAGTACAAGTGGTACCGGCATTAGCTGGGGAGTAACCTGCGATGGACTAGCATCCCGTCCAGGGGGAACAGAAATATTCTCAGTTGTTTCATGCTACTGAAACCGGAGATAAACACCGGCCTGATGGGCCACATTGGCATGTGACAGACTTTACTTTACTTAGTTACAAGTATTCGGATATTCGAAAGTCATCAATCAAGTTTTACGTGCGCCAGCCGGTTCATGAAAGAATAAAGCCACCTCTCCATACCTTTTTAAGGATCACCTGTTGCAAACCAGTCATTATGAAGGCTACAGGCCCAACTAAGCATGGAAACAAAATGACATGAAAAATATGCTTTTGAAAATGCTGCTTAATTTTCTATTTTCAAGCTTACTGTAATTCCAGTGAGTCTTGTCAGCAGCTGTCGGAAGGGAAATCCCAAGCCTGCCGGGGCTCTTTCCAAGGTGAGACTTCGGACGTGAGGGTTGGCCAGTCCCAGGAGCCAGCTGGGATCGACCAGCCTACAATAGCTCCTCATACCCTGACTGAACCTTGCCTGGTGCGCCTCTAACTGGTCGCCTGCCTCCTGCTCTATCACTGCTTGTGATTGGCTGACACTGTCAGCCTCGTTGTTGTCCGGTGGGTTGGGGATTTGGTTCGGTGGTTCTTGGTGGATAGTGTTTGCGTTGAGGCTTGGAATACCTGCATTCACGACTTGTCCTTGGTCAAGATTTGTCTCACTCACTTCAACTTGTCTGAACGACTCCACAATTTCGGTTTTTCCATTAATTTCATCCATGGCATCTGACTGATTTTTGGTTTGTTTTTCTGCCATATCCTGACTTGTAAATTCCCTCACTGCTGACTGACTTTGAACACTGTCATTGTTGACACCATGACAATTCAAAGAGCCTACAGGACTTGCACTTTTATTTTCTTGAACCATGGTCCTATTTTCGGGTGTCACCTTGGATCGACTTGCTGTATCTTGGTCCAAAGTTGCTCAGGTGGTTGTGTCCCTTCAAGTTTTCTTGATGGACTCTCTGCTGGAGACACATCAGATGACGGCAATGATGCCACGATTCCACCAGATGAAACATGGCTTCCACCACCTGCACCTACCACTTCATCTGATTGGTCCCTTGATCCCGATCCAGGGTTCTCATTACCTTCTTGTCCAATGGGACTTTTGCTTACATCTTCATGAGCAGCATCCCTTTCACAGTTTGGCTTTTCTGAGGGTGGAACTGAACAATAGTTTTTTGTATTCTGTGGTTCTTCAATGTTGGATGGTTTCACATCAGTTCCTGGGGTTCCATCTCGTTTATTGTTTTCATAATTGGTATTTTGTAACTCTGTTCCTCTCTTTGGGTTTGTTCTTGGACTGTTTGTTTGAACTGATGTACTGCAACCCATAGCGCTCTAAATCAGTCAATGAACATTCCTAAAATGAAAAAAAAAAAAAAATGACAATATTTTTATTTGAAAAAAAAGGGTTTTCGATACCAATTGTTTTGAAAGGATGATACATACCATCCTTCTTCTGTTGTTCTGCTTAATATTAGCAATTCTGGTTAGCTACTCTTCCACCTTTCCTGGTCCCATTTCATTCTGCAACATAACTGCTCTGCAATACCTTTCTTCATGTTCTATATTATGAGGCATTGTATCAGTCCTTCTGATTTGAGGTGTGCGATCACACCCCCACACCATCGCACGCCTAAAAGCCTCCCGAGAAGTGTGAAAAATTGCACGCCTGAATTTCCTGGACCACAGATCACACGCCTAGAAAATCACACGCCTAGAAAAATCCAGGTGTGCCTTTTTCCACACACCTTTGAATTTCTAAGCAGAAGGACTGTTGTATGTGACTGTGAACTGATCCCAATTCTTTTTAGCTCTTTCAGTTTTATCAGCACGGCACTGAACATTCACAGTGGGCGAGTGTTTTTCGGGACATAGAATTTTTACTGTGGCAATCTGTGTCAGCTTCCAATGCAATGTCGTTGTGACTTTGTATTCACGAGATGGCTATCTGACCCAATGCAATTTAAATATTTCCCTCTTTAAATAATCTTTCAGAGTCATAAATCAGAAAAAGATGAAATATTCTGCAAATTAAATGTAGGATTCCATATGAAACAATGGAAAGAATGTTGCAACCTGACAGTACTTCAGCGGTTGTGTACAAAGTCTATGGAGAGTCAAGAACATTTTGTAATGTAAGTATTTGTTAACAAAATTGAAAATATTTCTCAGTCCCAGATTCATATCTCATCATCATTTTTACAATTACTGACCTTCATTGAGATGATGTATCAAGAAAAAACAGCGTCAGGTTGCAACATTCTTTCCAAAACAATATTTTTAGTTCCGTTCTTACTTTTTGCGACATAAGAATTAAGTTTCAAGAACAACGGCAAGGCTGGGACAGCGTGCTTGTATCACTATGTGTATCAGTAACTTCAAATGATTCACCATACCTCACATACAAAAAGTCAAAGCTTAAATTTAAGTATTTTGAGTTAATTCTGGGAGACTAGCGTCCCTACCATGGCAACTTCTGAATTCTGGGCACTTACCATACTAGACAGGTTCTTTGCAACAGTTACAGTTGCGCACCTAGCTCGGAACGTCTGGATACAAGTTTTTGTTATAAAGCGCCACCTATAGTTCAGATTGGGAGAGGTGGTGCTTTTCACCACAGTCTACCGTATCTCGGGTCAACGCCAACGTAACTGGAAAGCCTTTGTTTTAGTCAGATAATTTCCTTAAATCAGTCTCCACCATATCAAAGAAAGATGTAATAGAGTGGAAAGTGTACTTGCAATGGGTGCAGGGGCGAAAACATTCAGACACATGATTATATAAAAAGATGAATCAGAATAAAGTAATACTAGGCCTACGTAATGAATTTAATTATCATAGCCACTGAATATAATAGTTGAGGTATTATGTCGGTTCATTGGAAGAGGATAATTGGGGCGGCTTTATAGGGAAAGGGTCAGGACCTTTCCCACATCCACATGCACGGGTGTCATTGATTTTTTTTTTATTTGGGGGGGGGGGACCTAATTACGGGCAGCCGGAAATGCCCCCCTTCCCCCATCCCCCCCCCCCCCCCCCACGTAAAAATGACACAGACACTATGATACGCTTACCCGGGTCTGACGCCCCAAGAGGCCCGCTCCACCCCATTTGCAAATTTCCAGATTCGCCTCTGGCGTGCTTTTGCCTTAAGAACTTAATAAGCAAGGGCGGATCCAGGTAAGGGTGGCAACAGGGGCCATGCCTCCCCCTCCAAAAAAAAAAAAAACCTAAAACGATTTAAAAAAAAAAGTTGCGTTGCAATAAAGGCAGGCACTGCGTACACCATCATCTTTTCCTCCAAACGATTTGAAGTGGACAGAAATAGCATCGCACCTCAGAGCATCTAGAATCCAAACAATTTTTTTTCGGGGCCCTTAAGCGTGTCCCAAACCCCACGCCGTAATTTTTGCCGGACCCACTTTTCGGGGACCAAAATTTGTTTGCCCTCCCCCCCCCCCCCCAAATGATAATTGTGTTCTGGATTCACCCTTGTTACTAAGATGCTCAGACAGACAACCGGAAACTCGATATGTAAATACTCGACAGACACGCTTCTGTGTCTGTTGAGACCATTGCTCCTCCCATAAACCCTCCCAAAAATGTCTTCCAAGCGGACAACGTGCGCAGTCCCCCCCCCCCCCCCCCTCCCCACGCACATGCTAGCCTTGGAAGCATCGGTTGGAAGTTATCCAAACAATGAGCACTGAATTCCCTTCATGTTGCCGTGAAATGTCAATATGGCCGCTGTCGATGAATAAATATACTCAACAATAAACTATCCTCATTTATTTGTTCTTCGTGTATTTGCTGTTGGATTGGGTCACTGTGTTTAAATTTTAAGCTTTCTCAGTAATTAAGAACGCTTCGAATTCATTCGGCGACAGGACGGGCCGGGGTAACTATTGCGAAAGGGCAGGGGGTGAAAGGTTGACTAACACAAGTGATGCAACTTAAGTTAAACCAATCATTATTACCATCTTAAAAAAAATGAACATTTAGATTTAACTAGGTTATCATGAGTAAACTTTTTTCAAGGCTGCATGTTACTTTAAAAAAAAAAAAAAAGAGTATATACTTATTTTCAAAGAGTAAAACTTCACTTTATATTTGAATATCAGACGTCAAGTTTAGAAATAGATGGAGTGTTCACTCGATTTTTACTGATTTTTTTTCGGTGTATTTTAATCTAAAATTATCTAAATCGTCTGGCCCTAATTTCACTCTGGAATTTAGTGACTATGATTTTAGTGTCCATAATTTTTCAAACGCCCGGAGCTGTATGGGGTATTACACAACAATAGCTAGGGCTGTATCATCACCTGACCAGCCACGGCAAACACCTTAATCACCTGATACGAAATCTTTCAGCCCAGCCAGTTTTCAGGGAAATATTCGATTTTCTGTCATCCAAAAATAGTTCCCGTATGCTGGTCAGCCGTCAATCGATGAATGTGTTCTCGTGATTGTCCAGATCCCCAAATAACTCCATTGACATAATGACAAGTACCATATGACCCTCGTTTTTTATTAATAAAATGGTCCGTAATATAGACCCGGTATTTCGAGGAATTATGCACAAAGCAGCCTTTTATGCATATTCATGTCTTGCTCTACTTTCGCAATGTCTGCCTTTTGGCGGGCTGACATTGCTATTGATTGAATCAGATGATTTTTTGTTTTTTGGTTAATTCTACAAGTTTGGTCCTTGGAGAATGATAGCTTTACCCCTGATGACAATTTTGTTTTAGAAAGGTTTGCCCCTCAACGCTGAGACGATTTAAAAAAAAAAAAAAATTGTGAAGAGCGATCGATCTTTAGCATCACGTGAAGACGCAAAGTTGTCTTCCTCGCGCTATTGTTGAGTTAAATCCCCCAAAATAGACTCCTTATCTAAGTTACAATGTTTGTCTAGCAATAAAAAGTTATTCACTCTTAAATGAGACATCGACCGAAAAAGTCGGCCCGTGTTTAGTGGTGGAATTATTACTTTACAATTACGAACTATTGACTGCCAGACAATAATTCCGTTCTCGCAAAGTAGGCTGGTTCCCACCCCACAATCCTATAATGTACGGACCAGTCTACTACTATGTACCAGTCTACTCGCAATTAAAGCGGATCTTTTCAGAGGGTTGCAGACGTCCAAAAAATGAGGAGAAGAGTTGGAAGGTTGGAAAAACATACAGGTTGAAAAATGTATTCATAGGAAAAAAATATATAGAATTTGTCGAAGGACACGCAACTTTAAGCAGCGGTGATTCAATTGCACACTGGAACCTGCACACCCTTTAAATGGCGTATGTAAAAGTAATACAGAACTTTATTTTTCTAGACTACAGGATTTTATCCTATACGTTTTGCCCATCGGGGGTTTCATTTTCGGTCGGACGGTATACCAGGGTTTTTCTAAGTCCCCTGCAAAAAGAAATCGATCTCTTCTTGGAATTTATCCAGAGCCTCGATCGTATACGAACAATAATGGTTACAAATACATTCATCATTTATAATGAGGCGAGGTCATTTGAAACAAGATAATTATATTCCTTTGGTCTCTAGCCAAAGTCATTATTTGATTGTGAAAGCAGCCTCGTTCTCCCATTATCCTCGTCGTGCATGATGTGTTGTCGACTTGTCCTCTGATGATAGAGCGTAGATGACAGCCATCTCTAATGTGTATCTCGATAGGCGGAGCAATTTCTCCTCTTGATCTGTTTGCTTCAACGTTGCCTTGCAATACCACTGCACCATTTTTTGTCAGCGCTTCCTCTTGCTACATGGCCGAAGTAATTGAGCTTTCTTCGGCGATTACTAATCAGGCGTTCTTTGAGTTTTAACTGAGCATGACAGTTTTGAATTTTTGCTTCTTTTCTCTGTCCATACTTGCATGGGCGTCAATCACTTCACAAAAGTGAGAGGGGGGGGGGATACCTTGATCAGAATGCGAGTGCGAAGCCCTATAACGGCGTGGGGTAAGGAGCCCGCTTAAGGGTCCCAGACAATTTTGGATTCTAGATGCTCTGTGGTGTGATCAGAGGCAATTTTGACAACTATAATCAATTTTTTGAGCAAAAGATCATCATTTAAACATCATTTGGAGTCATTGAATCAGCTATTCTGAGCTATAGAATCAAATGAAATGTAGGCTACAATGTCCCCCCCCCCTCCCCCCCCCTCCCCCTCCATCCACTGACGCCCATTCATTTGTAACTCCGGCGATAGCATCACATCTCAAATTTTTTTTTACGTTGAGCACCAGCATTTTATTAAAATTAGGCTGGCAAGCTTCGCATCCATAGGCTTTGCTTTTCCTACATCAGACCAAAATTCGACATGTTCCGTTTTCTCTCCGTGCACCTTTTGTCACAATCACACCTTCATTGCCCCTCGATCAAAGAGAAAAATAACTTTTCGTTCAATCGCGATTAGGCCCCCCAAAAAAGTCTCCGGATTCTGGTATGGAGCTTGCCCCAAAAGTGGTGCGGCGACGCGGCTTTTTATTTTTTTTTTACCTGTTTTTTTTTTTTTTTTTTGGCTTCAAATGTCGGCTGATGACTGCAAATGGTGCCCGACTAAACTTAGTGCAAATATATGGGAGTCCAGAGAGGCCACATAAAGCTTATTCTCGATCATAACCCCATCTAAAAACACGTTAAAATTGTGCAGCAGCAGGATTCCAGTCAAACCAGTGAGTTTGGCGGTTTGAGACATCATCTTGTATTGAAAAAAAAAACTTTTTCATTTTGCCGACGCGCATGGCTACGGCGACGCGCGCGCATACCAGAAACCGGAGACTTTTTTTGGCCTTAGTGATACAACGCAAAAGGTTGGTAAAAGCAGGGCTAATAAATTGACTGTGGACTGAGCCACCCCTGCAGGTTCTCTCTGAATGATTTTCAAAAGGATTTTCAAAAGGATTAATTTATAATCATGGATTACTTTTTCATATCTTAATGTTTTGACCCAAAGCTTTTGTTCTGCATCCTCCACTGCTTGCGAAAGGCAAGGTACTCTCTGGCCTTCGAGCGGTCGCCGGCATCCAGAGATTTCATAAAAGTCCGAGTATCGATCGAATGTTTCCGGGAATCTACCCAGGGACGTTTCCTTTAACTTTGCATGAAAAGAAACTGTAAGTTTAAAATAACAACTCTTTTGTACAAACCACGTGTCATGATAAATTATTCATATACCTTTCCGTGAGGTTGCCAACATTGTTACACATAAATAGAAATTCAATATTCTACATTTTTGAAAACTAGTGGAGTACCAGGTCTTATAATTAAAAAAAAAAGGTTTTATCAACAGTCATTTAGACAATTTTCGATATTTCGATATGAATTGAAGATATGTGTAGGGTGATTACGGTACACATTTTGCGTACACAAACTTAGATTATTTTCAAGGCGCTTTTTGGTTTTATATCATGATACAGCACAAAACAAATCTCACGGGGTATAAGGGATATGTAGTCTGCTCAATTAAGTTAGAAAGGTAATTAGTTATGCACCTATCAAGCTCAAATCGTTACCCAAGGAATTACTTGCTATAAGGTGACGTTTTGATAATTATTGAAGAAATAAAAAATCGCAGCTGAAAATACCCAATGATTGTAAGAATTATGACCTTATCATAACGGCTAGAGGGATGCAGAAACTCTTCTAAAGAATCTTCAAAGCTCAGCCTCTCCAATTTTACGATGTATTCGCGGAATAACCAGGCACTATCTTAAAATAAAAAAGACAATCTTAAAAAAAAAACCACATGAACCAGTCCATACAATTTAGGTCAAAAAATAGCAAATCAATTCAAATCTCAATTAGTTATTGCTTAACTCGAAATTTCCACGAATCGTACTCTGTTGGCTCAGCCACGAAGGTGCCCCGTTGTGTCCATTACGTAACACACATCCCAAATTAAACATCCGTTGACGTCAAGGCGTCCCAAAATCTTGGCGTTTTGCCCGTCGCAGGCGGCCGCAAATGAGCAAATCTTTACCCAAGAGTACCTCTCAAGTTGTTGACACAATCTTGACAACTGATGCCATTAGATAAGACGCGATAATTCTACGAAGTCTTTGTCGCTATTAATCGATGCTTCGATGTTGACTCGGTGGCCTTCGTTAAGGTATCGATCGCGTTTTCTGGTTACGGGCGGAGGAGAAACGAAAACACCATTGTCTGTTCACCCAGTCACCTGTACCAACCCGTGCCCCGTGACTTGGTCAAACTACCCAGGACGTCCTATATAAACTTTGCTCGATCAATATTGGTTTCAGAACTTTAGACACACAAACGTGGAGCAAACAGGAAGGAAGACAGAACGCATCATCTTATCATAGTGCAAGATCTGAGTCTGCCAGTGCCAGCTGAAGATTTTAATGTGAGTATCTCGAGCTTCGACGTCGTTTTCAGTTATTGCTCAGCGATTGAAATATTGCTTGGAAATAATTTGATGTGTCCGTAAACTAATAGCCAATCATGATATTCCCAAAATATGCGATATTTCGAATCGCGAACCTTGATTAACTTCTTAACCACGACAGTTTTATTTTTTCTAAGGCTGTTCGATTCGGATATACAATCCTGACCGTTTAAAACTACAGACTTATATCTGTGGACGAGAAGAAAACAATCGCAGAATTTTATTTTTTGGAACATTGTAAACCCCCAAAGATTGACATGAAAGAGAAGTTAAAGCAGAATCAGTAAAACAAAAATTTAAGAATTTTAAATTAATCATGTACCCAGCAATTTGTGCATGGCTTTGTGTAGTGCCTCCCATCCCATAAAACAGAATGGCCTTTAAGGACGGCACTTTAAAGCGCACATGTGAATCGATAAGTATAAACGCATACAGACCACACCTTGGTAACTACAATGTTAGCCAAGGACTCGCACGACTCACATCACGCGGTGACGTTATTCTCATACAGTCAAGAATAGTTCTCTGAACAGCGACAAGTTTTCTTTTAGGAGGTTCCAATTTTAATGAACCTTTGAGACCGGGCATCTAGCACCCAGTCTGTTTTGAAAGCACGCCGCTCGGCGCGTGAATGTAGGAGGAACGCTTCCTTGCCCTTCGAATGATTGCCGACAACTTGAGTATGACGAGTAAACATGTTTTATTGCAAGAAGGCAAATTAACGGTTAACCGTTGCTTGGTGTCGTGCCAATAAAACTGGGATTAGAGGGTTTGCAGTTTACTTTGCTATCAGCAAATCCACCAATAGTTAAATGGGCACTCATTCAACCGTTATATTTCCCATTGTTGTTGATCTCATGTGATTGCCACCATTATTGTCCCAATGAAACCGAAATCGTTGTTAAATCTCGTTTTGATTGTTTAAACTTAATGCTAAACGAGATCTCAGAGCGATTGGTGTAAAATGTCTAGGGCCTGCACCGAAACATCAAGAATTGTACCAGATTACACAAGATCATTTCCAAATCTGGAATAACTAGAAATTTCAAAGACAGACACCGATACCATCGCTTCAGTTCTCATGCTCATCTTTCAGCCATGCAAGTCTATTTGTTAGCGACTGGTTTTCATAATCAAGGACAGCGTGGCTTTTTGGTCTCTTGTGGAAAGTTTTCTCACAGTCCCGTGCCGATGATCATGGTTCTATTTTGGGGGGATGTACATTGAAGGTTCCAGATCGCCGCGGCCGCTCACTCATCCGTGGCGCGCGTGAGCTCCGCCACTGTTTGACTGTCAAGCACAATAGGTCACGAGGAAACGAACGGGACCTCCCATGGATTGGCAAAGTTCCAAAAACTCACTCGTTCATACCAATGTTTATATTTTTTGGTCATGTCACTGTTGTCCACTTTTTGTAGGTACATTGTTGCTTGTATTTCCGGTAGCTCTGCCTTAGTTTTAATTCTGTAAAATAATGTTAATGCAATGATGAAATACTGATTGAATATTTCTCCACATCCATTCTTCTCACAGGTCTAACGAAATGATGAATCATCGCTTACGATAAAGAGTCGCTTGCAGCCACGCGACAGAGTCAAGTATTGATTTTTGGTTTGGACCAACCTGCTGATGCAAGTGACGTTACAAAACAGTTTTGCAGCATGTTATAAAACTCTTGATGAATATAAAACTTGAAATCGCCAATTGCTCATCACACATCACAGCCAAAGCTTGTATACGACCTATACTAGACAAAACTCAGTGACACTTGAAAGCGGACTTTTACTTGATTTGATGACAAGAAATGAGGACTTTGATCCCAACATCTACTGCTGCAGCAATGTCTGTCAAGGATCACAGAGAAGTCATCATTGATCCTACCAAGAACCTCCTCAACGCCATGCGCACCAATAGCTTCACCCGTATCAAGTCCGCGTTGACTGTCCCCGGGATCCACTTCGGCACCCGGGACTCAGAGCACGACTTCCAGACCTTGCTCATGCGGGTCTGCCGGCTGGACATGGCACCTCGCAACCGCCGAGACCTGGCCAAGATCCTATTGGAGAAGAGGCGGGTGGACGTCAACGCCAAGGACTCGGACGGCAGGACGGCTTTGACCCACGCCTGCTTGATGGGAGACACGACGATGATCAAACTTCTTGCGGAGGACGAGGATGTCGATCCGAACATCGGGGACCGGGAGGGCGACACGCCGCTGATGCACGCCTGCCGGGCCGGGCAGGGTGATGTGGTCGCTGCGCTCATGACGAACTTTATAAGGCTGGGACTTCAAGTGGATGAACCAAACAATCAAGGTACGGACAGACATAATCATTTGTCTTTCACGCCTTAAAACAACAGAGCATTGCCTGACTTCTGCATAGCAAGAGCTAAAAACTTGCCCGATTTTTCGCTAATTTGTTATTTTGACTCATTTAAATTTCGATCTGAAAGAGAATTTTGTCTGTCAAAAAAGAGAATGGTCTCGTGTTTAATAGAACAATAAATATAGTGTTATCGCTATATTATGAATAGTTGAAGAACAACATTTAAGTTAAGTAAAATGTTTAAGTTGAATATTAATTTTTGATTGGGGGAAATATCTATATTTGCTGTAACGGCATGTTACAGATCTCCTTATCCGTGCTACCTTTAAGCCAGGAATTCCTCCTCAATCTTTGTATCATAACGTTAACAAGTCAAGAATCACCGATTTATTGTGCTGATTTTTTTGTTGTAATTTAAATTTGCAGGCGTAACTCCACTGATCGAGGCTGCCAGAGGAGGTCACGCAGACATATGCCGGCGCCTGGTGACGACGGGCCACGCCGACGTCAACGCTCGGGACGGAAGCACCTTCAACACGGCCCAGGACTACGCCATCGCCAGCCGGCGCCTCTCCACCCCTGACATCCTTCTCCTCTCACCCATAGCTCAGAGGAAACTCCAAGCGAGGAAGAAACGCGAGGCCATGGGACGCAGCTCCCTGTCTGAACTCATGAAGCGCGCCTCGTACTATCCAACCACGGGCTGGCAACATGAGGAATCCGGTAACACCGGTACCTTCGTCATCGAGCACGAGGAAGGGAAACTGAAGCAGCGCAGTCGAGCTGTAAAACCAACCCTCCATCAGGAACATTTGCAGCAGCTGAACAGTGCCGTGTTCCAGGTGGCTAAGTACGGGTTGAGTCGCGTCGCTGAGCAGCGTAAGGAAGAAGACGAACAGAACGTTGATGCCGAAGAAAAGCAGCCGAGACAGCGGAAGATTTCCCTCTCCTTGCCCGACCTACGCGAGGAAGACCTAGACCACGATGCCAAATCCTCAAGCAGCAGAGCGAATTCCCCGCCCAAGAGTTCCCACCAGGACAACCACCTACGAGTGCCTCATCGTCCGTCCCCGTCTACGAGCCCCACCCCAAGTCGTAGGAGCACCCCTAGCCCCTCACGGCTCCACCATCCACAGGCGCAAACCAGCAAATCACACACCCCTCGTCTGAAGCTACCGCCTGTGGACTCGCCAAACACGAGCCCTGCCTCGGCCAGGCGGAGGGGCAGTGTACCCAACAAAATGTTCGCGGGTACCAAACCTGCGGTCAAGACCAGCGCATCTAACCAGACGAGCTTGGGTCTTTCTAGGAGCCCTCCCAATGACTGGGCGCCCTCTGCCAACAACCATAACCACACATCCCACGGACCTGTGCCAGTGGTGCATATAGTCACACCCAATAAGAATGTACAGTCCAGAACAAGGCTTTCATGGGAGGGCAAACCTTCGTCAGCGGTTCCTTCTTACTTGTTTAGATAACAGGGATACATAATAATCACTGTCTAAGAACTTTGAAGGGGTGTCATTCAAGTAATTTCAGTGAAAGGAAAATTGAGTGGACACGATCTGATTAGGAGTTGATACGAGTTGCATAACAGCCGAACTCTCAGTTTCTTATATCTTAGTTTTGAATGGGAACATGAAAATCAAAGTAGGCTTGTCTATTCAAGCTAAACCTGACTCGGTCTGTCAGAAAAAACTTGGCTGGCCCCTTGGAGTAATAATGGACTTAAGATTCGCCAGACGATGTGGAAAATGACTGAAAATAATTCGAAAAGTCGGGTGATTTTGTAATCCCGATGCATTGCATTGTATTTATGATGAATTTTAAATTATGGCATTTGTTTCTGTAATTGTATTAATTTAATTGGGTATAACCCGTATCATTAATTTATGTATAAATATTTTAATTCAACGAAACGGAATCAGCAAATTACTGTGAATAATGCAACATTTGCATTTTTTTTTACCACATGATCTCGGACGTCACTCGAGATTGATCAAACACAGACGCTTTAAACATTATTGCTCTTTTTATAAAGCTTTTTATTTGAAACTTTTGGGTGGACAAAATAGATTGTTCTTTTACAACAAAAATACCGCTTCAGCAATATGACTTAAATGATGTGAAACAAAAAGTCACTTTGGCTACAGCAATTTAAAAAGAAACGGTACTGAAAAACCACAGATGAAATAAAAAGAAATGCAAGGCCTCAGTCAACACATGCGAATTAAAATGTTGGGGAAATGTGGACATTTTAGATTACATCTTCGACAAAGACCTTATTTAAAAATCAATATTTCCATAAAAATACTTTGCCAAATTGAGCATTAACATTGAATAAAGTACGTTTTCCCGTGTTAATTAAGATGTAGTCTTCATTGGCTCTTCGTTATTTCAGGGATGCTAACTGTTTTAATATTTTTTGAAAATTCGTTTGTCATTAGTTCACACCAATTGGGAAATCACTCCCCATTTTATTTGAAGGAGTAACTGTATTACTTCTGTTTGTGAGATTTCTTCAAACTATAACCATCTTGGATACTTCCGAAGGGTATTTAGAAGAAGAAAAAAAAGGAGAGATAGTCCTTGCACTAAATTATATGTTAATATATTACCAATTGTCAAGCCATTACACATCAGACAAAATAAACGCTTCAGTGAAGTTAATCAAGTTACTATAAATTGTGAAAAGGCAACGTCATTAACTTTCCCATATTGTATTTACTTCAAATTTTATATTTGATGAACAGAGAGTTTGCCAAGTCACTCCCCCCCCCCCCCCCCGAAGAAAAAAGGGTAAAAGCTCAGTTCAAATTAATTCCTAGATGTGTTCAAGATGTTGAGGTATGCTGGATGTTCTGGTGAATTTCAAAATTGAATTCAATGTCATTTTCTTTCTGTCGCTCACCACTAACCGCTGGGTCACTGGAAGAATAAGAAAACAATGAATGTAACTATTAGAAAAGAGAACTGACAATTTTTGGAATCTTGGAAATTAATAAAAACAAGGATTTCCCAATTTCTAATAAAGGAATATGCTCAAGAAATGTAAAGAAATTCATCATCATTCATCTTTTCATAAAATACTCAAAAAGGTTCTTAAAAATGAAAAAAAGTCTCAGATCTTATTAAACTTGTCAAGATTAAGCAAAACCCTAAAAGGAACTTTAAAATAAAGTGGAAATAAAAAAACCTTTTTATAACTCTTGTAGCTTCAAGAAGAAGGCTTTGCACACTTAACACCATCAAAGATATTATTTTGAAAGAAGTTAACTCCCGAGTGCACAGTGCTTGTGAAATTTGTCATTGAAAGGACAAGATAAGAATAAAGATAAGGCCAAAAAAAATTTTAAAGTAGTCGGTCTCTGGTCAGCGCGCGCGTCGATTTTAATCATGCGCGTCAATACTTTTTTTTTTCCAAAATGTTCTGCGGTAGCTCCAACAGCGCTCTCTATTACGCCCTCCTCAAATTTTTTTTACCAAAGAGCACCAAGGAATGGGAAATTGCACCAAGGCAAATGATCGAGGGCACCAAGGCAAATTATGGAGGACACCAATGTACATGAGGACACCAAAAAAAAGCAAAATAGTACCCCACCTTGTCTGTGCAATCCAAGCTTGAAAAAAAAAAAAAAAAAAAAAAAAAAAAAAAGCGTCGCCGCATCAATTCCAGACCTTTCGTCTGACCAGAGACCGAGTATTTTTATTTTTTTTGCCTAACATGCCTTATGAAGTCACCTACCTGACCACTTTGAACTTGGAGGTATCAATTTCTGGCATAAACGTGTCACATTCAAACTGAGAGTGGATGCGCGTCAGGTAGATGCGATGACAAAGGGAGGACTCCATCGCTTCCTATGTAAATATTCAAACATACAAAAATGAGCATACATTTCTTGATCCACATTCAAACAAACACAATTTTCGTAAATTTCTTGAAGTTGATGATTTTATAAGCATTTTTGTCCCCTCAGCATTCCAGGGAACACAGACCTATTGCACTTCAATGCCTCCTCTCATCCACATATCGTCGTGCTCTGAAAGACTGGTGCAGTCTTCCTGAAGGTTTTGTGCACTGTACATCCTTGCGAGAATGCAAGGATGATGTATAATAATAATAACTAGAGGTTCGCGTTTGTTGAGTTACAAACGCAGAGTGGTCGGGCTGGCATATTTTCTTGTGTTTACAGTGACTTAATCATAATTGAACTGCACATTACCCCTCCCTTTACCCTGCACCCATTACCCTGTGTTTTTCACAAAGAAAATCACACAACCTGCAGTTGAACTTGTTGCTTTACCTCGACAAGACTTGTAGGCCTATGGGAAGCGCACATCTGGTGCTGCATGGATGGCTACTCAAGCATACAACCAGTTGGGACTATTGGTAGACTTGCCGGAGCCTCTAACGTCGTTGGAGTTTATGCAACATATGCTAATCATATCATAAAATGGCTTTTATGTGTTTTTTTTCTTTTGCATGGGCATAATAAAATTCTGCACTGACTTTACGACAGAAAAGTTTGTGGCTACACGCTGTGGAAATATTAATTTTCAGCATTCAGATATGAGAGGAAAACTGGTGAGGCGCGATTTCAATCGGTTATGGAAAGAAATCTTGTTTTCCTTTTATTTGAGGCTAATTTCTATATTTGAATTCACCTAACTTTGACCTTCCGGCAGCCCCGGAAGGAAAGGTCAAACGACTTTGACTTCCGGATGATAACGCCATCACACTGTTTTTGTGTCTAGCATTCCTCACTAAACACTTTTATAATATACGTGTCTGTAGTAAAATGCTTCCGCTTTTGAGCTCTATTCAGTTTTTATTGCACTTCCGGTAACACCGGAAGTAAAGGTCAAGCGGTTTTGAGTCTGGGAAAAGAAATGTTCCTCACGGCATAGTCTACAACCTCACTAAAAACGAACACGATACTCTATTTAGTTCAAAAGATATACGCAAACTATTTAGTCAAAATTTGCCCTTAAATCGCTTGTAATTTGATACCTGATGACCTCATGATGGCGTAACAACAATTATAACATCTTCGTAACAAGGTACAAGTTCACACAAGGTTTTGTGATCATACCGTGAACCGTTCGGAAGAAATGTTGCTCTATTTTGATTTCAGGCTAACGTCTTATTTTGAATTCATTTAACTTTGACCTTCTGGTAGACCCGGAAGTAAAGGTCAAGCGAGTTCACGTACAAGGCAAAAAATGTTTAGCGATTAATGGTCTATCTGATTACAGAATACAAACATCATTGAATATTTTGTTCAAGAGTTATAAGTGAAAGTATTTGGTCACTTTTTCAGTTAAAATCACTTGTAATTTGACACCTGATGACATAATCATGACGTCAGTCTAATATGCACCACTTCGGATGAGGGTCGATATATATTGAAAGTTACAAGTTCATACCATATACCGTTTAAGAGAAAAACCGGCGGAGAAGTATTGTCCGGAAAAAAAAGAAAGAAAGAAAGAAAGAAAGATTAATCGCAACAAATCCAAAGAGTGGTCGGGTTGTGCCCGGCCACTCAATAATTTGGGAGGCTAATCATCCTTACTCGCAGCTGGTATGCTGAATTGCGAAGGACGCGGCTACAACGTGGTCGGGCCGCTGGCACGTAAAGGCGCCTATGGCTGCCGGCCACATCGACCAATATATGACCACGGAGCACTGCCTGAGATCGAAAGTGTTCAATTTTTCCAGAGGGAGGAAAACCGGAGGGCCCGGAGAAAAACCCACATGGCACAGGAGAGAACCAACGCACAACTCTACTCACATGCGATCTGCGGCCAGGATTCGAACCGTGGTCACCTTGGTGAGAGTCGGGCGCTTTACGCACAAGCCACCCATGCCACCATGTATGTGTAGATTTACGTCTTTCCTAGTTTCCTTCTTAACCCTAACAGAACTCAACCCATCAAACTCCAACAGCATGTTTAGTTGCAATTTGTCAGGATGGGTACAGTAGAGAGGTTTCGCATGCAAACGGATACGTTTAGTGCGACGGATACGTCATCAGTTATGACGTCATATGCCACTCACTAGTCCGCTAAACGTGCAGACGACACGCATATCTCGCTCGCTACACGTAAGTAAAAAACGGATACGGATAGCTAAACGTAAGTGTAAGTGTATCCGTTCGCTTGCAAAACCTCCTATTACCCCTAAACTGACAGTCTTTTACCTTGGGTTGGCACACCTCCAGAATCAAAGTCAAAAATATGTGTGTGCAGTTTCCCATATGGTGTTGGAGTTTGCCAGGATGGGTATGGTTCCTAGTAAATCATGCTCGGGAGTTAGGGTTAAGGCACCTTTCTTTATCTTGTAGCTGCCACCTCAAGAGGCCTTGGCCCTTTGCTTGTACCCCCCCCCCCCTGAAAACAGGACGCTGGGAAGGACTGATATCTCTTTTTGCTCTAATTGGATAGATTTTGCGTAACCTGTGACACAGCAAGCAGCACACAAAAGTGTTACAGCTGTTATTGTACGTAGCGCGCTAGCTGCATGCGAAGGTCTTGATAAGTTACCCATAATGCCATCCGTACTTCCTGCACAAGATTCTGTGAAGCGGCATGAGCCCTTCCCAGGCGCCCTGTTTGCAGGGTGGAGGGTACGAGCGAACCTCGGCCTTGTGGACACATTGTATTACCAAAAAGAACACAAAATCAAGTACAATGCACCATAAAAACAACCAGTGCCTCGAAATACATTTCTTATACAGGGTGTATCAAAAAAAGGTATACACTAAGAGAAATGTATCAAAAAAGGATGTTTTATAATTTTTCAAAAATCTGTCACAAAATATTGATGGACCAAGGTCTTACGCTTCAATTGCCACCATGTCAATCTTCAGCTGTTCCGCATGAGTGGACACTAGCTATTTACTTTCACCAGATTTGAATTGGCTTGCGCACAAAAGTGAAATGGTTAAAACATAATCAAACACCGTGGTAGGGAAGTTTAGGCATGTGCTTTGTTGCTCACAAACTTTCATGAAAATTGGATTAACCCTTAGTCCTCCACAGGCCCACCAAGTTTGGACTCAAGTTGCGCCTTCCTCAAAGCATTAACAACAGTATGACCTTACAAGTCAATGATTAGGCCTAATGGTAACCGTCATGAGGGAATGCAACGTTTGCACTTCATGCATGCACGATTCAGTCTTCGACGTGGCCACCATTTCTTTGAACACAGACTTCTGCCCTCCTCAGCATGTCATAAACTGCGCACCTAATCATTGCGGCATCCTGCTTCACAACAGCAACTTCGGCAGTAAGACGTTCTTGCAGGTCATCCAGGTCTCTTGGTGGAGTGGTGTACACCTTAGACTTAACATGGCCTCACAAGAAAAAGTCCAGTATGGGGTAAGATCGGGCGATCTTGGGGGCCACTCGACGGGCCGGTTTTAATGCGATGAAGCGATCGCCAAACAATTCAGTGAGACGTTCAGTCACGATCCTCCTCTTGTGCGGTGGTGCCCCATCTTGCGCCCACCAGGCACGCCTAAATTGTCCATTTCTGCCAGGACGATAATGATGAAAATCATTGACATGCTGAGGAGGGCAGAAGTCTGTGTGCAAAGAAATGGTGGCCACGTCGAAGACTGAATCGTGCATGCATGAAGTGCAAACCTTGCGGAGTGGAGTATTCAAATTTCCTTCACATTCACCTAGGCAAAATGGAATATTCATATCACCTCAGGAGGCTTGCTTGAGGAGCTTGCTTGAGGAGGCTTGCAAACTTGAAGCAGGTCAATATCTGTACACTATTTACCTTGTATACAGAGCTTCCACCAATAATCCAGACAACATCGATTCCATCAGCTACAGGAGGATCAGACAGGAGCTTGACTGCGTGATCCAGGCTCCGGCAGAGGTGGTCAGCACCAGCTGGACACTCACTGATAACAAGGAGGAAAAAAACTCAAAATTTACAGTGAAATGTACTTAAGGCCAAAACAAAAAAGTCTCCGGTTTCTGGTATGGAGTTTGTCCAAAAAGTGGTGCGGCGACGCGGCTTTTTTTTTTTATACCCTGACTTTTTTGCTTCAAATGTCGGCTGATGACTGCAAATGGTGCCCGACTAAACTTAGTGCAAATATATGGGAGTCCAGAGAGGCCACATAAAGTTTTTTCTCGATCATAACCCAATCTAAAAACACGTTAAAATTGTGCAGCAGCAGGATTCCAGTCAAACCAGTGAGTTTGGCGGTTTTGAGACATCATCTTTCATTGAAAAAAAAACTTTTTAATTTTGCCGACGCGCATGGCTACGGCGACGCGCGCGCATACCAGAAAGCGGAGACTTTTTTTTTTGGCCTAAAGAATAGTCAAACTTTATTTTCACAATTTCAATATGGTTCATTTTTAAAATCAGCAAGAATTTGCAAATATATCTGCATAAAATGGCATCACCCTGAGGTGCCGAGCTGATATATTTGCCTAGTTGGTTGCGCATTCCTTCGACTTTAGGCAAATTTATCATTTTTGCCAAATAATTAAATTAAAGAGTTATGATGTTTGATTAAATAAACAGCTTTAAAAAGACCCTAAAAATAACAAACTTTCACATTTTTCTGGATTTGGGGTCACTTTCCATTAACTTTGATTAACATTTTACATGCAACTACAGGTATGACTGTTATTAATCAATTACATATTTTGACTAATTTCAACCAAATGTTGTCAAAAGTATCAGTAGCCCAACATGTCACATACCAAACTGGGGTCAAAGGTCATCATAGGGTCAAGGTCAAAATAACATCAAATTTCAAATAAGCTCAAATAACAAAAGTAGCGCTGTCAACATGTTGGCCTTGGTCAAACATTAAAAAAAATATGTCCATGTGACCTCTTCATCTGACCTACAGCTATGGGGTCAAAAGTCATAAGGTGAACACAAATTTGTTGGCCCGCAGCTTCTGAGATCCTGTCCTGTTAAATAAGGACTTAAACATAACTTTCATGAGCAGTTAGTGTAAGGGGAGGCTCTTCAAAAAAATTAGGTTCATGTAATTATCTTCATCAATCCCATACCTTAATGTTTTGCTGAGAACAATGTTAACTCTGTTTGGTAGCGGGCGAAATTTGTCAGGGATCGACAGCCAAGTCTTACGACCCATAATGACAGCGTTCTTCTTGTCTTTCTCAGCTGTTGTTGATGTCTGGGTACTGAAGAACTTCATGTCAGTCCTGTAAATGGGAGCGAGAACATAGCCAGGTTTTAGATTATTAAGATGTGTTTCTGCATCACAAATATTTATCTGCTAGGACAAGGTTGCATTCTCAATTTTCATTATTAATAGCTCCAGAAACAGAAGAGTAGACTCTCTGTTACAGCACAGACAGTGCGTGGCCATAAGGCTAGTGGGATGATAGAGATTACAAAAACAAATTTTAATCTCAATGTATTCGTCCATATAAGCGAGTTCGGAATTCCAAAATAGTCTGGTACACAACAAGATTTGACAATTTTTTGTTAGGGATAACTGCGGCAGATAAATGCACACAAGGCTATGGAGAACATGGTAACCGAATCTGCATTCTGAGCAATTTTTCTGGCAACATGTGCAATCGAAAGGAGATGGCAACTTTCGTTTGCACCAAAGTTTGGACACGTACACACAAGCATGACAAGACACCTAAAAACACTTTGCTGTCCAAATGGTTTTTTTTTGCAGAATGTAACTTGAAAACACGACGATCTCATGCCCGCTCATGCCTACTACTAGTACTACAGTACTACTAGTAGTAACTATGATTTTGCACGAAAGAAAAATCGGCAAATCTTGATCACTGATGAGTGATGTGCACATATATCGTCAGACCCCCTAAAATGACGAGGATATGTTTTGACGCACTCACATTCAATTTGCGTTGGACAACGCGTGCGCGTTGGAAGCGTTACCTGCGTCAATTATGGTGACTCAAGGATACATGCGTAGTTAGTTGGAATACCGACCTCGCTTATTGTCAAATAGAAAAGAATGAAGTAGCCTACAATACAACCACTTCAAACTTATAACTAAGACTCGGCCATTGCACTTGACTGGCATGACTAGTACTATAGTCCCATAAATGTGACTGAAATACTGGACTACCTCCGTATATCAGTCACAGAGCCACGTACGGCCTGTGAGCGGAGCGTCCCATTGCTAGGGGAGCCGAAAATTAATAAAAGATCGAAATTATATTGTCAACAGAAAATCAACCCAGCTTACTTACTAGTAGTAGTAGTAAGTACTACGAGTGTGTTAGTGTTACCAGCAGGCCTACCTCCACAGGGTGGACGTGACAGTGACAGTCATGGCGATCGTGTATCTACGGGACCGGTTCCTATATATAACTTAGGGAACAAAAATCCACTTTTAAATTATTTGAGTAACCAAACTAGCTGGCGACATTAAGAACATATATGTATGTCATAGATAAAGGGCAGGGTTTTGAACTTCTGAGGAACATTTGGTGGTAAAATGACGGTGACAAAACGCAACACGAAAATAAGGCCAAACAAAAAAAATTGTGTGTTTACGGTAACTGCCTGAAAAAAATCCAGGTAGGTAGGTAGGGAAATAATTTTATTTTGTAATTTTTTGTTTCATTTCAGTTCTGCATGCCCATGCCTGTTCTTTCGCAAAAAATTGTATAAATACATTATTCAAGCATTCAAGATTTTCAATCGATACATTTCATTCCAATTAATTCGTTCTGGCATCCATCGGCCAGGTGCACCAATTCACCCCGATGCATTTGTGCAAAAATAATCGTACTTCATAGTTTGTAAATTGAAGTTTTTAGATTGTCGCAATTTTCGCACGTGTCAAATCATGCCTTCATGGTCAGTTTCAAGTGTGGAAATGGTTTATGTTCGTGGCAAATAAAATGTTTGAAATTTGTTCATTTAAAATGATCAATATCAACCTTCAAAATAGCAACAAAAAGTTTGAGGTCGGCAATTTGGCCGAAAAATTCCAGGTCGGTCGGGTTACCGTAAACACACCATTTTTTTGATTTGGCCTAAAGATGGCGATCACTGCGCAATGTACCATGACCATGTGTACCATGAGCACGCAAGTCGCGCTGCACGCCACCAACCGGCCCGTAAACCGCGTAGGAAAATCGTAATTTCTACCCCAAGAAACTGTTCAAAAATTACCAAAAGGGTGTCATTACATTGAGAGAAGGCTGCATATGCTCTAGAGTAGACAATGTCAATGTCATTTTTTAGAAATAAAAAAATTCTTGATTCTACTAATTTGATCGAAACAAAACCATGAAAACAGGGGCCCTACACTACACGATCGCCGACAGACACAGCCTACAAAAGTATCCTCGAGTCACCATAATCGGCGCAGGTAACGCTTGCAACGCGCGCGCGTTGTACAACATGTCCAACGCAAATTGAATGCGAGTGCGTCGAAATAGATCCTCGTCGTAGTTTTAGGTGGACTGACGTTCATGTTCACAGGACAAGGCTGCCCGACTTTACGCCCGTTTTCCACTCAATTCCTACCTCAGTTTCCATGGGATCGTACCATTAATTCCTATTCCTAGGGAGTCTTTGCACTTGCATGCAGCAACGATCAAGTTATACTGCTTCTGACCTGCCATTTCCGGCCTTCCTAGCGTCACAACTCATGTGCCGCCCAGCTGATGTTGACTTCAAGTGCAAAATTTCACGTTTCGCGCGCGCGGGCGCGAAAAAAGCTAGACGGCTGTTTTATGTTGCAGTAGATAAATATATACACGCGTCACCAACACCGTCATCATGTTCCCGGCCGCAGCAGCGGCAGCACCATTTAAATTTCATAAGAAACAACTTAACCTTGTCACTTCAATATCATTTGAAACTCCATAGTCCATTTTGACAGCTTAAATTTTTCAAAAATATTTCCTTATAACATGTATCTTGCAACAGCCGTCTTATAACAGCCGTCGATTTAAAACAAACAAAGCGCGCCCTCAATTGGTTGAACCATGGTTGAACTCAACCTCGTCCTCAGGGTGTCGAGCAGTACGCGCCCACCACTACCTGCTCTCTCAGGAAACCGTGTTGGAAATAAAGTAAGCACTGGGGACGAGGTTGGGTTGAACTCATTGATCGCCATATACACAGTCTGTGTATATATGGAGATCAATGGTTGAACTAGTATCAACCATCAATCTAGCCTTTCGCCAAGGCCATCGTTGCTTTAGAGCGGCGGAGTTGCGAAGACCCGAAGCGATTGCACGAGTGGCAAAGCCGTGTGGTCTCCATCTCCAGTCGTTTCGCTTCTTCGCCGCTTTGTCTAATGCGGGCAATTTTTTTTTTAAGACCAAGTTTAAATATGCATTTCCCTGATCAATTAAAACCGAATACTGTAGCTAATTATCGCGGAAAGAAGTTTTTTCCGAAATGCGATATCACGGAAAGACATCTCTCTTTATCTCAGTATTCCGTCTTTCCAAGATAACTTATCGCTTCCGTTATAAACGCATGCTTTTCCACATGATGTAAAGAAACACGGTGATTGACAAGAAGTGATTTTATACCAATGCACTGTCCCTTCTTGTGCAAACAAACAAAATTGAAATTAATGTCTGACGTCACGCTTTCCGTTTTCTATTCATATATGTGTGCGTTGTAACGCAAGTGTTAGATTGATACCCCGCAGTGTGAAAGAAAATACCTCTTTTGCCTTTAGCCAAGAGCAAAATGTGATGAATATGTAACATCCAGGAAATAAGTTGATCAAAACTGACAAGTCTTTTTTTTTTCTGCCTGGGGCATGGCTACCACGTGACTGGGACAATATAAAACAAAGAAATGTGGAAGCGATTTTATTCACACTGACTCCGACTGAAGTCGTGCCCATTATAGTTCATGTTTAGGTTTTACTGCATTTCTGTATTGCTTCTATTACTCCACTGGGCTTTCCGTTGTAGACGATTATTCTATCCCCAAACTATCTTCCTATAGGTAAATGTGTGTTCCCCACCCCCGACAGATATACCGGGTCACGATCCGGTAAATTCGTCCCGGCGGGGGGATACATTTACCAAGTCAATGTAATAGTTCGCCGTGGTCTATTATCGGCGAGCAGATTCGCTGATTAATTAGGCAAGACCCCGCCTCTTGACCTCCTAGATTTTGACCAATCAACGGGCGCTTTCTATATCGGGTCTTCCGTCATTCACCCGTTGCGCGTCATAGACAATGGATTAAAAAAAATATGTCACGCGCTCTGTATCATGCTACGCTATATCGCGCCCGGCTGTTGTTGCATTACAAAACACTGCTTTTGAATTGACCAATCAAATCGTTTAGTCCTGATTTAGGAATGAAATGACATCACGATTTAGTAAAGTCGACTCCGGTTGGCTGGCGCGCCGCTTGCATAACTTTGCATGTCAGGAGATGTCAGACGTTATGCAGGGTTTGGCTCCGTGGATAACGAGTGATACTCAGACTAACATTTACCGGGGCCGGGGGGGGGGGAGACAGAATTACCTGTTTCACCGTCACTTGACTGCCAGAATCCAAGTTTATTTTATATACAAAAAGCCGGATTAAGAAATATTCCGAACACACAGAAATCTATCAGATGGGAAGCCGCCGCTTTGTTCGAGGATATTAATGTTTACAACAACGGTGTAACGTACAATGGCCACGCCCCCATTGCTGCAAATTTCCCAAGACGTTAGTGCGAAAAAGTAATTAAAAAATATCCAATAGGCGCTATAGTAATAAGTGGTGCAAGCTTGTGTATGACGTTTTTACTAACGAACCGGTTTGATCACTGACGTGTTGGAGCGCAGCCACGACAGACTAATATAAAACACGTGCGCAATTCATATTCTTCTAGTTTGGTGTCTCCGATAGCACTGTTGGATACGCGACATAAACCCTGCATTATTTTTCTCCTCTGTATTGGGACGATTTTGCCGGTGACGATGTTGATGAAATCTGTTTGGGTGGTTCTGCTGCTGTCGGGAATTCTCTTCCAAAGCGCAGCCGGGGGTAAGTTCAAATTAATCATTCCACCATGTTTCCTGGGGATAATCCCCATTCGATTACCTTTCCCACTTTTGTTGGTTGTGTTTTGGTGACAACATTGGTCTTTGTTCTACAAAACAGACGCTAGACTTTGTGCCCCTCATGAATGAAGAAATTTGGAGATTGATCATTTCTTTAATTTCAAAAGATATCTTATCAAAGTAATATTTTCCGTTTACGTATTTCAGCTTGTGTCCCTATATGCTTCATTATATCAGATTAAATTCTACCAAAAGAAAATGCTGCAACATATAGGGGCTAGTATAATATGCAGTCGTTTTTTTTTCCTCCGAATATAGAGAATCGTATTGTTTGATTACTCAAACAACTATGTTTTTAAATTTATATTTTGCAGATCAGGGTGCTCAGAAAGTATATCAGTTTAAGAAATAGACCTAATATGTCGTTTACTTTGCTCAGCCCCTTATTAATTCATGTCTTTTATTCGTAAATCACAAATCAACAACAAAAAGACACGGAGGAAACCCGGAACATCATGAACATATAGGTACTAACGGGGCCGTATCATAAGTCCGAAATTTCGGACTTATGAGGCGTCGGACCTATGAGGCGTCGGACTTATGAGCGAACCCCGTAATTACAGTACACCTGTAGTTTGTACTCGTCACGGTTGTTAGATTCATCTATTCCGTTTAGATAAATAATGTTCTGTTTATTATCATTATTCCCCTTATCGGTGTTTTACGAGCAGTTTTGTCAATACGTTGAATTGAAATATCATGATACACCGAACATCCTTTAGAAGAGAAGTATGTTTGTGACCAGCCCTCCCCCTCCCCCAATGGTGTACACCCTGGCCATGGAGCTATTTGTAACTAATTGCTCATTGGATGGATACGAATATGGATGTCACCTATCTATAGTCATCACTGTTTCCTCACTGCGTTTAAAAAATTAATATTTAATCACAATCCTGAATATTTTTTCAGAGACAATAAACCCTCTTTTCTACCTAAGCGCAAAATTAATTTATTACGATGGCGGATGGAGGGTACGGTTAATTTTTTTTTTTAAAGTGGGTTTTTTTTTTGGGGGGGGGGTAAACGTTTTGTTGTTGGGCTTGCATCCATATATTATGAAGCCCTAAACGGTGAAGGAATAATTTGGGATTGACGATTCTCTTTTTGTTTAAAAAGGCATCTTGAGTTTCCAGGTAGTTTTTCTTTTCAGCCCGGGACTATATGAAACAAAGCATCGACAGCTTTGGACATAAACGAGATATAAACAATCAAAACACAAATCTTGATGGGGAAAAAAGTAACGCTGTTTTGATTCAAAACCAATGTTTCAAACCAATTAAGCACGCGATCCAGCGGGAACAATCCAACATTTTAAGAGATTTGTTTTTTATCATTTCACTGATTAAACTGATCTTTTTTTGGCTTCTTTGCAGACGGCGACGGCGACCCCTGTGCAGGTTTGACGGTAAGGGAATGCCTGCGACTCTGGTTCTCGCAAAGTGGTAAGTTCAATAATGATATGTTTTTCTTTGGAATGAAATAGTTCCATTCGGCAAAAGAAATTGTCAAAAGTTGGCAAAGGCTTGCAGAAATCAGAACATAATGATAATGAACACCAAAGTTGAACTTCGTTGTCATTTTATACAATAATAATAAAAATAGTTACATTGGATTGGACATTTGGAGACATCCCCATAGACTTGTGCACAAAATTTTTCAAACTTAAATGTGCCCTAACCCAATATTCCATTGTCCTTTTTCTACAAATTTCGGTATGTTTACTAATTAGACAACGAGCAACAATTATAACCTAATTGCAACATGCGACAGTCAAACTTCGCCTCTAAAGGGGGCTGTGACATTAGGGAGACATGAAAATGTCTCCCACCGTTTGAAAAAATTACGATATCGTGTCTCCTTTATGGTACATTTACACGTAAAGGGCTACTTGTTATTGTAATCAGAATTATAATAACTATCTAAACAACAAAAACCCGCTTTCCGTGTCACAAAGACATCACAAAGCGCTTTGATTAAAAATCCACATATTCTTAAGAAGGACAGATAAAAACAGTTTCCTGCAGATTTCACTTTGGCGTACTAAAAGTAGTTTCTTGCTCGTGTGTTGCGAGTGTGCGACAAATTGTAATAAAATTATAAGTTTTCCCGGCTATTTAAAAACGTTCATCATTCAAATTCACCGATTCTAATATTCAAAATCGTCCAAGTAAAATTTCAGACGCTTTGGGCAAAATCAATCTAGTCATGTATTTATTTAGTTTCAAAGTTTAATGTGCAAAAGACTGCATACTACACTTATGTTCAAATATTCGATTGGTTTATTGTTAATAATAATACAACGATCGAATGATCAAATAAATAATAATCAAATAAATTATTTATTTATTTATTTATTTTTTTGCAAATGTGGTGGAAAATAGTTTGTTTCGTTTTCGAATACATTACACGCCAATGGTTACCAAAACAGATCAAGACAGAAATGTTAGACGTATCGACATACATAACCCTGCCAATCACGGGCGTGATTACGATTGTGATTGTTCAATTTCGATGCCGCGTTTTTGTAATACAACAACCTGTACAAAAATGCACCTGATCGATCGTGTGCGTGATGTTTACGCAGGCGGGGAGCTCGAATTACGCGCGTATAGAAGGCGCC